CACAAGGGCAGGGGCTGACCTCCCCTCCCCCCAAAAAAACGTGATATGCGATTGGAACACAATAGTTTTTCCTTTTCGAAATTCGAGTGGAAGGGTACATGTTGTATCTGAACACAACACGCACATGTTCTATCTGAACTGCTCTTCTATTTGGGAAAAGTGAACCCACACCGTTTCAATTTTGAAATGTTCAAAAACTCAAGGACTGGTCTCCTCGGCCTCCTACGGGTAGCTACTAATCCTTTGCATGCCCCTCGCCTTACTAATCTCCGAAACCTCAAAACGTTCACCCTCATGAACGACCACCGACGTTGAAATGTCTCAGGGGGGAAAAACGCAACTCTGACGGGCTGCGAACTCGAACGTTGATCTATGACATGGGACTTGGAGACTCTTTAGCAACAATCGCAAATGGCACCCGTGTACGCAACCCGTCAGGGGTGCGTTTTTCCCCCCCGAGACATTTTCCCTCTGAGACATTTTCGTCGTCCTTCGTTATATTGGTCATTGATTCGGGTTCATTTGGTTGTTGGAAGGTTCGAGAAATGCAGGCAGGTGCAGGCACGACACTTTGGGGGTAACTGGAAGTTTCTTTGAAAAATGTGGGACCGGTAGCTGCCCGTGGGACCACGCGCTGGGTTTTGGTCGAAACGGTGGCAAAGTAGAGGTAACGTGGATCTTTGGGGGGGGGTGGCAGTTTTTTTAAAAAATGCGGGACCGATAGCTGCCCGTAGGACCGTGCGCTGGGTTTTGGCCAAAACGGTGGCAAAACAACTGCAGGGGGGAAAAGTGGAAAATTTTGTAGCCCGTCAGGGATGCGTTTTCCCCGCCTGAGACATTTCCCTCTGAAACATTTTTGTCGTCCTTCGTTATATGGGTTGTTGATTCGGGCTCGTTTGGTCGTTGGAAAGTTCGAAAAATGCACGTAGATGTAGGCACGACACTTTGGGGGCTAGTGACAGTTTCTTTGAAAAATGCGGGACCGGTAGCTTTCCATGGGACATTGCGCTGAGTTTTGGTCGAAACGGTGGCAAAGCAGCGACAGGGTGGATCTTTGGGGGGGGGGGGKGGCAGTTTCTTTAAAAAATGCGGGACCGGTAACTGCTCGTGGGACCGTGCGTTGGGTTTTGGTTGAAACGGTGGCAAAGCAGCAGGAGGGTAAAAAAATTAAAAAGTATGAATCGGAAAGGGTGCGGCCTTGGCCGCAGGTTGAAACGACACACTTGCATTACATTTACAAGTGCAAACAAATGTGCCTGAACGTGGACGTATTCAACGCCCCACACATTTAGCGCCCGATTGAGTGAGTCACATATGACAAAACAACCGTTATTTAATAATAAAAAAAACTTACAACAACAAATACTCAAGCCTCGACATCAACTACGAATCAAGGTATGTCAAATATCTAATACATTAATGCCATACAAATTACCTTAATCCCACACATTCTAATACTAATAGATGTGATAAACACAAACACCCTAAGTATCACACAAGCACACACACACACTAATCTTGACATATACACACAAATACTGTTTTTTTTTCATGCAACAATCACCCTACTTCTAAACCTCACCAATAATGCCTCCTTTATCAATCAATCATATATACAAACTACGGGTTGCGAACCCATGCCCTCACGGTAAGTCAATGTGATATGCTAGACTGGGGAGATCAACAAAACAACCACGAGCAACAACGATAAGCAACCCACGCAGTTTGAAGACCCGACATACAACAGGGTGGAAAACCCTTGGGTGGTGCGCAGGCAGTGTCTGTAATAGCGTCCATGCGTCAACTCAAGGGATGTGCGTCCAGCTGTGCGTCATTCTAATTGACTTACTGTGAGGGCACGGGTGCGCACCCCGTAGTTTGTATATGCTTGATTGATAAAGAAGGCGTTATTGGTGAGGTTTAGAAGTATGCACTTGTAAATGCAATGCAGGTGTGTCGTTTCAACCTGCGGCCAAGGCCGCGCCCTTTCCGATTTCAGACTTTTCCACTTTTCCACCCTGGCGCTGCTTTGTCACCGTTTCGACCAAAACCCAGCGCGCGGTCCCACGGGCAGGTACCGGTCCCGCATTTTTCAAAGAAGCTGCCACCACCCCCTAAAGTTCCACCCTGCCGCTGCTTTGCCACTGTTTCGACCAAACCCAGCTCGAGGTCCCATGGTCAGCTACCGGTCCCGCATTTTTCAAAGAAACTGCCACCCCCCCCAAAGTGTCATGCCTGCACCTGCCTGCATTTTTTGAACCTTCCAACGAGGCCCGACCTGTATAACGAAGGACGATGAAAGTGTCTCAAGGGGGGAAATGTCTCAGGGGGGGAAAACGCACCCCTGACGGGCTGCGAACATCCTGCCAGTGTCCATGCGCGAGTCTGTGGAGTTTCGAACCCGCACGGTTCTCTAACCACTGAGCTACATCAACTGGACAACATAACGCGTGTCCAGGCGAACGAAGAAGCGTCTGACCGGAACTGGTTGGCGGGTCTCGAAGTAGACCAGCAGCGGGTTCAAGGTATTCGGCCTAGCTCCACTACTCACGACATTCACAAAAGATAAATATGCCCATGTATCTCCATATTCGAGGAGGAGATTCAGGGCCTCGCCACACTACTCTCGAAATGTGCAAAACGAGAGTGAATCTTCCGCTAGAACATGGAGTTTGTCTTTTGTGCATTTCAAGAGTAGTGCAGCGAGGCCCTCATTCTCATTTTGTAGATTTGGTGAGCAGTGTAGTGAGACCCATTTTGGCGCCATGGCAATAAGCTGCCATAGCTATTGGGTAGGCGTCATTCATTCGCGCATCGACTGTGGTGGCCAAATTCGTCAGTTTTCACGAAATCCCTCAGAGGAGCAAGAAGCGTATGTATGCATCTCGTGCGCGTTTTTTCCCCGCGCGCGTTTTTTCCCCGACCAGAGCTACTTACGCATCACGTTGCATTGATTCAACGACGCCTTCCTGTCGAGGGCGGGTGAGGCGAGCGGACGGTTGAAGGGGATGAGGCCAAGCAACGTCTGGAATTCGGCTCCGCAGGAGGGTCGAACGTGACGTGGGGCGCGCCCCCTAGTTTTTCGAAAGGTGGTAGAAAAGAGAAGGGGGACGGAGGAGACAGTTAATAAAAGAGGGAAAGGAAGGGAAGGACGAGAGAGAGAGAGAGAGAGAGAGAGAGAGAGAGAGAGAGAGAGAGAGAGAGAGAGAGGAGGGTTAGGGAATGGCAACGGACGCATGTAGAAGAGTTATCAGCAGCAGCAGCACGTGAGTTGAGTGTGAGGAAGGGGTGGAAGAGGAGGGGGGGGGGGGGAGAGATGGTGGCGGTGGCAACCGCCTCCCAGGGTCTATTGACCCCTGTATCGTCAGGAGCGATGTCGCCGGCGTGGGCGACAGATGATGGCGACGAGATGCTGTCACGCATCAAGAAGCTGACAGATATGGGGGCAATGACTCGTCTTCTTCACGAGACGGTGGCGCGGGAGAGAGATATCGATGTGGAATTGGACGGTTTGCTAGCTCAGAGGCAAGATCTGGAGAAGAAGCTGCTGGCTATGGTGAAGTCGGCGGAGGTGCTGGAGTTAGTGCGCGCCGATGCGGAGCAGATGCACCGCAGCGTGCGCGGCACCTGTGCACTGGCGGAGCACGTCAGCGGGAAGGTTCGCGAGCTCGACGTCGCGCAATCGCGCGTGCACGACTGTATCGTTCAGATAGAGGCGATAGTGGACAGGACGAACTGTATAGAAGGTGTGAAGAAAGCTCTGGAGGGGGAGGATTACGAGGCGGCGGCCAAGTACGTTGCAACGTTTTTGCAGCTAGACGTGGAAAACGGGCGGCGGGGGGCGGGGGAGGCCGAGGGGGTGGGGGAGGAGGCGAAGAAGGAGAAGAAGGATAGGAAGAAGAAGAAGAAGAAGAAGAGGGTGCAGAAGAAGGACGGCAGAACTGGCGAAGGCGGCGAGAAGGGGGGAGAGGACGGTGATCGGGAGGAAGGAGACGAGGAGGAGGAAGGCGATGAAGAGGAAGAAGAGGGTCTGGGCGAGGCGGCGCAAGATGACTTGGCAGGAGGAGGAGGGGGAGGGGGGAGAAGTGGCGCTGGGGCGCTGGCGGCGCATTTCGGTGGTGAAAGTGGGTTGTCGGAGCAGCGCGCGCAGCTGTTGCAGTCGAAGAAGACGCTGGAGGACGTGATTAGGCGGCGATTTGCGCAGGCGGCGGAGGTGCGCGATCATGCGGGAGCGGTGCGGTTCGCGCGGCTCTTCGGACCGCTGGGGTTGGAAGAGGAGGGGGCGCGCGCCTTCACGTCGTACCTGCGCGGGGTGGTTGCCGCGCGCGCAGCGGAAGAGTTCGACGCACTGACCCGCGCCTTGGAGGCCGCCGCTCCCCCGCTGATCCCCGCGCTTGGCGCCGCCGCTGCCGCCTCCCCCCCCGACGCTTTCCCCGGCGACTTCGTCGGCGCTTTGACCGAGCTGCTCAAGGACATCGCGCTCGCGATCGAGGAGAACGAGCAGCTGATGCTCGACGCCTTCGGCGAGGAGTCGCTGGCTAACGCGGTGAAGGAGCTGCAAGCGGAGTGCGACGTGCGCGGCGGCAAGCTGCTGAAGTTGTACGTCTCATCTCGTCGGCTGACGTGGCTTGTCAAGGAGGTGAACGAGCGCAAGGCGCGGGCGGGCGGCGGCGGCGGAGTCGTCGCTGGAGTCGTCGCCGTCGGGGGCAATGGCGACGATTCCCGCCCCGATCCGCGCGAGGTGGAGCTCCATCTAGAGGAAATGCTCGTGATCGCGCAGCGGAGCGAGGAGTACGCGCAGTTCATGACGGAGAAGCTGCGCGAGGCGGAGGCGGCGAGCTCTAGCGCACAGATGAGCCCCAGAGCCGCCAATCTGTTGCGCCGCAGCGGATTCAATCGCGCCGTCCAAGAGGTGATCGGGTGTTATATAGTCCTAGAGGAGTACTTCATGGTGGAGAATGTGGCCAAGGCCATCCAGATCGACGAACCGATGGCGGAATCGTTGACCACATCCATGGTGGATGACGTGTTCTACATACTGCAGAACTGCGCGCGGCGCGCAATATGCACGGGGAACGTGCAGTGCGCGCTGGCGGTGGTGAACAACGTGAGCAATTTGCTGGGGAACGAGTACAAGGAGGCGCTGCAGCGGAAGCTGCGCGAGCCCAATCTTGCGGCCAAGCTGTTTGCGGCGGCGACGGCGGCGGGGGGAGTCGGGGGCGGCGGCGGAGCTGGAGGGGGACCCGGCGGAGGAGGGGTAGCTGGCACGGGAATGGCGCGCGGGGGCGCGGACATCGCCACCGCGCTCAATAATGCTGACGTCAGCACGGAATACGTTCTCAAGCTGCGGCACGAGCTCGAAGAACTGGCCGCTGAGGTGCGTCCCTCCCTCCCCCCCTTTCCCCTTTCCCGTATACTCTCTCCCTCTCTCGCTCTCTATGTGCACATGCGCATCTTAGTACTTCAATCCGGCTCTCTCTCTCTCTCTCTCTCTCGCTCTCTACCTCTGTGTCCTTGCGTATCTCTCTGTGCTGTCTATGTGCACATGCGCATCTTACTATTTCAATCCGGCTCTCTCTCTCTCTCTCTGTGTGCACTTGCGTTTCTCTGCGTGCTCGCAGAGCAGAAGGGGGAAAAAGGCAAAATGACCCGAAGCCCCGGTTGCAAACTCTTCCGTCGACTTCACCGCCCGCATATTCTTCTGTGGGTGTCTCCGTGTGCGACGAGAGCGAGAGCGAGAGAGAGAGAGAGAGAGAGAGAGAGAGAGAGAGAGAGAGAGAGAGAGAGAGAGAGAAAGGGAAAGGAAAACGGATGGCTCTTTATTTTTATGCGTGTTTTTTTCGTAGACGCCAGGATCAGAACTCCCCACGTGCATCCCCTTACCTGTGAGAGGTAGCTATGCTTGCAGGGCTCGCCTGTATAGGCTTACTAGGAGTAGTGGTAGGTGGGTAGTAAAAGGTGAAATTGAGAGAAGAATATAGCTTAGTTAAAAATCAAAGAAACCCTCCCCACCTGGATGGCACAAAAAAAAAAGAAAAAAGAACGAAATACCACGTCCCTGTGCAGGTCACTCATCTGCAGCCTGAATGCGGTTATTGTGAGAGAGAGTGGTACAGATCCCTCTCCCGCAATCTTACCCCTCTCTCACGGAACCCTGAATGCGGTGTAGTTTTCTGTGATACCGTCTTCAAGGTTCTGTGAGAGGGGTGAAAAGTGAAAAAGTCTGAATCGGGGTAAAAAGTGAAAAAGTCTGAATCGGGGTAAAAAGTGAAAAAGTCTGAATCGGGGTAAAAGGTGAATCGGGGTAAAAAGTGAAGAAGTCTGAATAAAGTGAAAAAGTCTGAATCGGGGTAAAAAGTGAAAAAGTTTGAATCGGGGGTAAAAAGTGAAAAAGTTTGAATCGGGGGGTAAAAAGTGAAAAAGTCTGAATCGGGGGGTAAAAAGTGAAAAAGACTGAATCGGAAAGGGCGCGGCCTTGGCGTGGACTTGGATAATCTACGAAATAACCGCCTTTCCCCGAACATAAGGCACCCTAAAAATGAACGTATACAAGCTATATTTCCGGCCAGATATAGCCAAAATAAGGGTGCGTTGTGTTCGGGGGAAGACGGTAGTCATAAATATTCAATTGTTGTGTGTATGGTGTAGTCGAATAGTTGAAACATTTAGCAAAAAAAAAAAAAAAAGAATAGTTGAAAAGCACGAATAGGTAAATAGTTGAAAAACACGAATAGGTAAATAGTTTAAAAACACGGATAGTCCTTCGGGACATCCGTTAAAATTGGAACGATACAGAGAAAGAAGATTAGCATGGCCCCTGCGCACGGATCACACGCATAAATCGAGAAATGGTCCAAATTTTTAAAAGAAGGGAAAAAAAAAAAACACACGAATAGGTACATTGTTGATAAACACGAAACTGGCTTAAGGCTGCAAGGATAACCCCGGGGTCAAGTCCCACTTGCAGCGTTGAGCTACCTCAACGCCGGAATCTGGACGTGTTTTGTGGAGACGTGCAGTTCAGGAAGCTCTACACCATTTCTGCACATCTCCGCAAAAGCGTCCAGATTCCGGCGTTGAGGTAGCTCAACGCTGCTAGTGGGACTTGGCCCCCGGGTAGAATTGTGAGGTCCCCGGCGTCAGGTTGCTATTTTGTAATAGAATAACACGAATGTTTTCTTAAAAAGAAAAAAAAAAGGTTGAAAAACCAATTCTCAGCTATAAGACGTTGAGGCTGTTGGTCGGTCGCGTTATATATCTCATTGGAGTGTATTTTCCGTGAGAGAGGGGCAGTTGCGCAAATCGGCCACAAGTGAAGACATATGCGGTGAAGAACCTTCCCCCCCAAAAGAATGGAATGAGCGATTTGTTTTATAATTTATTTCTTTATTTAATTTTATGAAAAAAGGGAAGACGAAGAATGCCAACGGTGAAATCAGTCAATCATAGTGCACACGTGACCACTTAGAAGAAGGTCAATCAACTCCTTTTTTTTTTTTTTCGTTCCCCTGGATATATACACAAGAAATAGATGAATCTAGAAGAGGCACCTCTTTTTTCTTTTCCCCCTGGATATATACACAGGATATAGATGAATCTAGAAGAGACGCGTTTTTCTTTCTTTCTTTCCCCTGGATATATACACAGGAAATAGATGAATCTAGAAGAGAGCTTTTTTTTTCTTTCCCCCTGGATATATACACAGGAAATAGATGAATCTAGAAGAGACACCTTTTTTTTTCTTTCCCCCTGGATATATACACAGGAAATAGATGAATCTAGAAGAGACAATTGCGGAACCCCTTGGATATATACACAGGAAATAGATGAATCTAGAAGAGACATAATTGTTTTGTCATCAACCGTCTTCATCCGAATAGTACGTAGTTTATAAAGTACCGTAGGCGATACTCCTTTGGGCATTTTAACTTGGACGTCCGTGGGCGGAATTTCGACTTGGGCGTTTTTTTGGGAATCGAAATGATCAGATGCTGGGCGCGGTTGGCAGCACGAAGACAAAAGAAAAGAAAAGAAAAGAAAAGAAAAGAAAAACAATCGCCCGTGTCTACAGTAAGGGGGGGGGAAGGGGAAAAAAAAAAAAAGGACTCTAGTAGAATTTTTGACTTCGCCTCCTTTCTGGCGGCCCTAGAATGTAAATGCGCTATTGGGTTCAGCCTCCTGATGAGTCAGTCGGTGAAACTCCGACGAAACAGTTTGTCACATCCCCTCCCTCGTTTGTTGTCCTCTTCTCCCTCCCCTCCCTCCCTCTCTGCCTACTACGGTTTACCGGGCAGCTCCTCTGTTTGACGATATACAGTATATTTTGTCAGACAGAGCTGCCCGAACTCATCAGGAGGCTGAACCCTATATAGGGTAGGGTTCAGCCTCCTGATGAGTCGGTGAAACTCCCACGAAACAGTTTGTCACAGCACCTCCCTCGTTTGTTGTCCTCTTCTCCTCTTCTCCCTCTCTGCCTACGGTTTACCGGGCAGGGAAGCTCTGTATGACTTTGTATATAGTATATTGAGTCGGTGAAACTCCGACGAAACAGTTTGAAACATCCCCTCCCTCGTTTGCTGTCCTCTTCTCCCTCCCTCCCTCCCTCTCTGCCTACTACGGTTTACCGGGCAGCTCCTCTGTTTGACTATATAGGGGGCAGGCGCCGCTCAACCTACATCCACGTGGGCGGCCTTGTACGCAAGAGGTACTGAACAGGGGGAGTTGTAAGGAAGAAGATGAGAAAAAGGAATTAATTTTTTTGTGTTTCTTTCTGTTTTTTTTTCCGCTTTTGCGCTCTGATAACTTTGTGACAAGATGTATTGTAGACAAAGGGCCTCGCTCCACCACGCACCACACGCACAAAAGGCAAAAAATTACGTCGATGTATCTTTCCGTGTTCTAGCGGAAGATTCATTCTCATTTTGCACGTTTGGTGAGTGGTGGAGCGAGGCGGCCAAAGTTGCGGCAAATACAGCTGTAATGACCCTGCGTTCTATTCGGGGGAAAGACACTAATCGTCCTCCTTGGTAGGGGATCGATCCCCGCCCCTGATGATGCAATTGATCGTCATCGATCGATGATTGATTAGTATCATAGGGCAGGGGATCGGTCCCCTTTCTTCCACCGTTGATTGCATATAATTGATCGTCATCGACCGATGATTGATTATCATAGGGCAGTGGATCGATCCTCTTTCTTCCCCCGTTGATTGGATGAAATTGATTGTCATCGATCGATGATTATTGTAGATCGATGGGGTGGCGAGGGGGGGGGGAGGGGAGGGGAGGGGAGGGGAGGGGAGGGGATCGATTTCCATCAAATCCCGATCGATCGTTGGTTGGATTTGTTGATTCCCATCGACCGACGAATGATCGATCCCGACCGTTGATTGCATGCCATTGATGGCGATCGATCGATGATTGATTATCATAGATCGATGGGAATTGATTATATCCTACCCATCAAATCCCGATCGATCGTTGATTGGATTTGTTGATTCCCATCGACCAATGATCGATCCCCACCGTTGATTGCATGCCATTGATGGTGATTGATCGATGATTGATTATCATAGATCGATGGGAATTTGATTATATCATAGATCGATGATCCCCATCGACTGACGAATGAGCGATCCTCCACCGTTTGTAGTCATCGATTCGACCGACGATTGATCGATCCCCGCACGGGCGACTGTTTTCTTTTTTTTTTTTGTTTTTTTTTTAACGCAAAAGAAAGCCAGGTTGTTTGTCTTTTCTTTTGTCTTCGTGCTTAGGAACCTTGCCCAGCATCCGATAATTCATCACTGTACTTTTTTCCCTTTTTTTTTTTTTTTAACGTGCCACGTTTTCTCTGTTCAGGCACGTGATCATATTCAGCGTTGTTTTGTGGAGGGATTCCGGGCCTCCCCCTTTTGTGTGGTAATACAATGAGTAGTCTTTTTTTTTATTATATTAAAAAAAAAAAAGAAACTTCAACGTTGATTGCCCTGGAAAGTCGGGGAAGGAGGGGAGGATTGACTGCCAGTGATCTCCCTGCAGGATGATAAATATACTAATTAAAGTACTTACTACGATTAATAATAATAATAATAATAATAATAGTAAAAGTCTCAATTATATTAGCGCACTCACATTCTACGCCTGCCAGAAAGGAGAAGTCGAAAATTCTACCAGAGTTTTTTTTTGTTTTTTTGTTTTTTTTAGGTGCACACGGACGATTGATCACCATCACTGATGGTCAATCGTCGGTTGACCAACGTTGACTTTTGGTAATGGACACGGGCGATCTACTGATGATGATTAATCCCTACCGTTGGTAGCCATCCATCCACCGACGATTGGTCGGTCCCCACCGCTGATAGTTATTGGTGGATCGATGATTGATGACCATTAAGTTAGTCACATCAGTCGTTGGGGTGTGTTGCCCTGACCAACCCCCAAATTGAAATCCTTTTTTTTTTTTTTTTTTTTTTCGGTGGAAACCCTGAATGGACTTTTTGCGTAACAAAAAGGGTTTTCAATTTTGGGGGCTGGTCAGGGCAACCAACACACCCCAACTACCACCTTCATCCGAATGCCAAAAAAAGGTTGTTAGTCCTCAGTCGTGGGTCGATCGATGGCAGTCAACTGAACTGAGGAGAGGGGAGTAAAAATCATTGGCCAACTACCTTCTTCACCCGAATACAACGTACGGTCATTATTGCGACACACGGTTAACGGAGGGCCAAAAATTCGCCGTTTTTGCTGGACAGTTTGGGTCCAAAAATTCAGCGAAAAAGCCAAAAAAGACAGAACTATATAGGCCCATAGTGCAAACGTCAGGAAAACTAACAGGCCAAAGAAAACGAAAAAAAAACAAACAAAAAAAAAACGCTATAAAACTTAGGCTACCAGCCGGGCCGCACGGGTCCCGGGTGGGCAGCCTGTGCAAGGACCAAGGACGGTCCCACCACCGTAATAGGTGGTAAGTAGGAATAGGAGATTGAGCGAAATAGGAATATGATAGGGTTGATTTGTTGCCGATAGAGCTCTGAATTTAGGATTGAGAGTAGATGCGGCATGGTAATTAGCTAGGGTTTTCTTTTCCCCCCTTATTTCCAGGATTGTTCAGGTGTTCTAGGCCGTGAAGGCACCTCATGGCTTCGAGGTAGTATTACCTCTTTTTGGTCGTTTGTTTTGGGGACGGATCGAATTGTGTGGCTCTGTAGGCATTGTTGATCTTTTATGTCCCAGGGATGCGGAATGTCAGGACAGCGGCCCAGTTTTGGCCTCGAATCTGTTTGCCTGGACACACCCCATCGCCTGCACCTAAGCTGGGTAATGGTCCCAGATTTCTTTTTCCGGGTTGGTTGTGGAGGTGTTCCCGGTCTTCTGTTTTGGTGATAATAAAATGAGCTGAGTTTTCCTGTATAAAAAAAAAAAAAAAAAAAAAAAAAACTGAACAACTTTTGTCTGAGGGTCCAATCGAAACTCTTTACCAAATTTCAAATAAGAAATAAATTATATATATATATATATCTGTTTGTGACGATATATATATATATATTTTTGGCCCGGCCGGGCAAGTGACCCCGGCCCACTCGGGTAGCCTAGTATCAAACCCTAAACGCAAAGCACTTTCAGAGTTAAAATCAAGCGTCCAACAAGTTCAAGGAAGAAAATGCCAACTTTTTCATGATTTATCCAGGCATGTCAAAACTGGACACGTGGCATATTCTAAAGCACCTACATGTCACACAAAAAGAAAAACAAGGGGAAAAAAAGGAAAAAATCAGGGCAATATAACAGTTTCAGTCCAAAATTCGGCGTAAAGAACACCCCCAGCTAACCACGTGTGATTATTGCTGTACTTACCCCAAATGCAGTCGTTGGGGTGATGCCCTGACCAACCCCCGAAAGTTTTTCTGAAACCCTGAATGGACCTTTGTGTGAAAAGAAAAGAAAGTTAATCATCAGTCCTGGGTCGATCGATAGCAATGAACTGAGGAGAGGGGAGTAGTCATTGGCCAACTACCTTCTTCACCCGAATACAATATACTGTCATTGCTGCTGTATTTGGACCGAAAGATACCCCAAATACAGGTGTAATGACCGTACGTTGTATTCGGGTAAAGAAGGAGGTACGTATGGTTAAACACGATCCGGGAATTTTGATAGTTGTAATCACCCATACGCTGGTGGGGGTGGGTTGAGCGCCTCATCGATCGAGAAGCTCCCGTCTTGACCCCAATCGAAAATGCTGGAATTTGGCAAGTGGTCTGGGAAGGCCCTATATTCCACAACATGTACAGCTACTGGAGGTTGATGAGGGGTGATGTATTCATATATATCATCAGTAGGGCCTCAATCAACCCCTCGTCAAAGGGCCTAAAAAATCAACGGAGTATACCACCCCTCAGATTACAGATCAATCGACCAGTGCCTCTCAGGTCCCTTTTAGAAACAACGGAATCTCTTCACGAAAATGTAGACTCGGGGAGTTCGCACCGTCCTCCAGGGTGCAGAAGAAAAGGCGAAGATCCCATGGACCCGAACTTTCAACGTCTTAGCTATGTGCGATATGCAGATGACTTTGTGATAGGGATTACCAGCCCTTATAGGAAGAAACTCAGAAGAGGCACTGGCAAACTGCCCCACAAGGCAGCATGCCTAACTCTATAGTGGCAAGCATGGCCACTGCATCTGTGTGCACATGGCTCCCAAGTCCAAGGGCTGCTAATTGCTGTTGGCACTCAAATGTAAAGTCGTGAACACCCGAAAAATTGGAAAACATTTAGAATGTTGAACTTCCATAGCACACTAAATGACTGCAGCACAGTCGCTGGCTTTTTGGTGACTTCGAATTTCTCCATCTATTTGTGGCAGAGCAGAAAGGGGTGTGTGCATGTGC